ATCCCTTCCCCCAAAGTGCCTTTAATAAGACCCCAACCTTGATACTAGTCCAACTTAAAAGATGATCTCCTTCGTCACTAGCCTAAGTTTAGCTTGGTCTCATCATTCAAACAATTACTTGATGGAATTACACAAGTAGAAGATTGGGCTCTTGCCAGCATCCAAATATGAGTTACTCTTTATAATTCAATATTATTAACAAACAACTCTATTAGACTTGAACTCAATGCTTTCATTCTTTCAAACCAGCTTTAACGACTACATAAATTTCTTTAAACCATAACCTCATATCTTGTAGGTTTCATAACTTCCACTAGTCCCATGAGTCTCAAACTAACATCCCATTAAAATCTCATCTCAGCAACTTTATCACATATACTATATTTAACCTATTTCTATTTTATATTGGAAAATGTTATACATAGCCCTTAGGGCTACATATAAGCATTAAAAATACTCTTGAAAACTGTTTAAATTTAGAAAAACATGACAAATTCACACTAATTACACTGATCTACGCGTGTTTTTGTCATAAATTCCTAATTTTATACAATTTCCAAGAGTGTTTTTAATGCTTATATATAGCCCTAAGGGCTATGTATAGCATTACCCTTTTATATTTAATAACATTTTATTCAACAACTTACTAATTGTAGTCTCACAAGTCAAAAATCTGGTCACCAGAAGAAGACTTGAAATATTAAAGTACATTATTATTAGCATAATAAACGTGCCCACACCATAAGCCAAAACATAATAATAAGATCAATAGCAGGACCCCACAAATCCAACTCAGAGCCACCCTTCTGGGAGTCCTATAGTAGGGGCCAACCCCGTCAATCGCTCTCCGATCAAAGATTTCAGCATCAGTTCTACCAAACTGCCTTCTGCAACTTGTAATTTTCAGAGACATGTTTTTCCACTCTTGTAGACTGAATACACCCTAGGTTTTTTCTCCTTATTTGGGGATACAGGACTAATTGCCTTAAATAGGTAGGGCTAATAATTGGCTAGAAAAATTAGAAATAGCATTCAACTGCTTCATTTCATTTTCTAACTTTTCATTCCTAGCTACCTATATCTATCATCAGTTTAAGGGATGATTAACACAACACAATGAATGACGATTAAGGCCCTGTTATGTTAAAATTATTTCAAACAAAATAAGTTCTAGGAAAGTTTAATTCAAAAGAGTGTAAACAAAATAGGTTGAGACATTTTTAAATAGACTAAGGGCATGTTCTCATTGAATGAACTGAGCTGAGATGAGCTGAAATGAAATGAATATTTTATAAGAGAAGGAAAATTAGGAGCTGAACTAAACTGAACTGAGTTGATCTGAATTTCAACGTAAGAGAATAGGTCCTAAGTTTAAAATACCAAAAAAAAAAAATAAAAAAAAAAATCGTAGTTAGCCCGAAATAAAGTGTTGTGTGTTAGGGATTAATCACGAATACCTAAATTTGAAATAGAAAAGTCTAGGAAATGTTAAACCTCATAAAAACGACCTTGCACTAGTATCTTTCTTCCCAAAACGCACCCTATTTAATGAGGATAACCACAATTATAACCCCAATATATGTCACCAACACCAAAAACATACCCCTATACATGACGATCAACCCAATCACTTTGACAAGTATTTTAGTCCTCCTCCATAGACCATAATTGTTAAAAGATATTTAGTCCATGACAAGAGATCTTCCATTGATATATTGGGAGAATAATATACCTCCAAAATAAAGGGGGAATAAAGAAAAAAATTGATAGGGCAAGGACCAGGCAAAGACTTGATGGGTAGGGTAGGTGGGGGATAATCCACTTGAAAGGTATATTTCCCGAAATGTTAAATTTTAAAGAAAACTAAACACAATTGGCACCTAAAAACAACTTAAGAAAAATATTTTTCCTCTTCCTGTGATTACTGTGCTACAATTCCAAGGCTGGGTAAAGGGTTTTTTATCGTCTGATTTAAGATAATCGAATTTTATTCTTAAAACATACTTTCAATCATAATAAGCATGGAGGAGCTAGAGAAGTTATGGGTTGAAGAAGTAAAGATATAACGGTTTTCTGAAAAACAATACACACATGCATACAGCATACAGTCGCGTATGAAAAACCACTACCACTAACATTTACGAAAGAAAATTCCTACATCCTTATGCAAATATGAAAACACATTTAAAAAATACAAGTACAAACTTAAAAAAAGAGAAAGGTAAAACAGTTGCAGCCAATCTAAGATCAACTTAGCGAAACCAGCCCCCACAGCAAGTCTATAATGATGGCCTACAATTAATTAATAATAACATAATAGCAAGAAAATGTCAATCTCTTAATGAAGTTTCCACCACTTTGTAACATACGTGACCGCATTTGACTAAGGCCTTTCAAGGCACTCCCTTTAAATTCCCTCCCACACTGCATCTCTTCCACACCTCTTCTTTTCATTTGCTTTACAAAGAAAAACCCAAGATTTTCCCAAATTTCAGTGCCTCTTCTTTGTCTTTCACTTTCACAAAACTTATAGTTTGATCGGCATATAAAAAAAATCAGTCGAGAAAATGTTCTCATGTAAGTCCCTTAGACAAAGTGCAGCAGTGCTGCTAAAAGTTTTCTTAATTCTCTTGTTAAACTTAGCTGATCATAATATCAATCACTGCTCTTACCTTCCCCAAGCTATCCCAGATTTCACAAACTTGAGCTCACTTGATCTAGTATCATCACTTAAAAAACTCAATCTAAACGGCCGTCTTGATTTCGAAAATACCCATCGTGTAGCAAATGACTTCGGTAACAGATACCATTTCCTTCCAATGGCAATTCTGTTACCAAAATCAGTTTCTGACATCTCTACAATAGTTAAACATGTTTTCAACATGGGCCATAATCCAAAACTCACTATTACCGCAAGAGGCCACGGTCACTCACTTCAAGGCCAATCGCAAAGTCATGGCGGCATAGTCATCAACATGGAATCATTAGAAGAACCAAAAATGCATGTTCATACAGGGGAACAACCCTATGTCGATGTTTCAGGGGGTGAATTGTGGATTAATATTCTGCATGAGACCCTAAAACAGGGATTAACTCCTAAATCATGGACCGATTACCTTTATTTGACCGTCGGGGGAACTTTATCAAATGCCGGGATTAGTGGACAAGCATTCAGACATGGACCTCAAATAAACAATGTCCATCAGCTGGAAGTTGTCACTGGTAAGTTGTTAACTCGTTACTCAACTTACAAGATATTAGAAAGTAAATACTTAAACTAGAATATCAAAAAAATAAATGCAGGCATATAATTATTTCAGCATGTTATTCATTTGACAAGGTCACATTTAATGCAGGGAAAAATTTTAGGCCCATTTTGATTAATTGTTTTCCTTTTTTTATGGGCTCAGGAAAAGGAGACATAGTGAACTGTTCAGCAAAACAGAACGCTGACCTCTTTTATGGTGTTCTTGGGGGACTAGGACAGTTTGGCATCATCACTCGGGCCAGAATCTCTCTCGAGCCAGCTTCCAAAACGGTAAGTAGTGTCCATAATTTAACTGACTTTGGTTGTTGAATTATAAAGGTCCCTGTAGTCATCTGAAAACTTTTTTCACAGGTAAAATGGATTAGAGTGCTATACTCGGACTTCAACTTATTTACCAAGGATCAAGAACAGCTAATATCATCAGATAATCCATTTGATTATATTGAAGGCTTTGTCATAATAAACAGAACAGGTCTTATTAATAACTGGAGATCTACCTTCAGCCCCAGAGAACCCCTGCAGGCTAGTCAATTTAGATCAGAAGGAAAAACTCTTTACTGCCTTGAAATGGCAAAATACTTTAATCCCGAGGATGCGAGCATTACAAATGAGGTTAGTATTTCTTAAAAACCACTTTTTCATATGTTGATACACAAGCAAATCATTCATTATCGAAACTGAACCTCTTGTGTCTTTCCAAATGCAGGAAACAGAACATATACTATCCAAATTAAATTATATCTCTCACACACTTTTCCAGTCTGAAGTATCATACATGGATTTCCTAAACAGAGTTCACCTATCAGAGATAAAGCTCCGAGAGAAAGGATTGTGGGATGTTCCCCATCCCTGGTTAAATCTTCTTATTCCCAAGAGTAAGATACACACTTTTGCTGAAGAGGTAATCGGTCATATTCTCACAGACACAAGCAATGGCCCGATCCTCATCTATCCCGTCAACCAATCAAGGTACTTACTTTTCCGACATGTGCTTGTCTACTATTCCCCCTTATAGAGAAGACAACAATGTTTTTTTTTTTAAGGGTAAGCACTAAAGTAGTATATGTATAATAATGCTTAACAGATGGAATCACAAGACATCAATGGTGACCCCATCAGAAGATGTTTTCTACCTTGTAGCTTTTCTAACATCTGCGATGCCATCTTCATCTGGATCAGACGGACTTGAAAGCATTTTAGCCAAAAACAACAGAATACTTAATTTCTGTAAAATTTCCAAGCTTGGGGCAAAGCAATATCTTCCACATTATGACAGTCAGGACGGATGGAGAGCTCATTTTGGACCTCAATGGAATGTTTTTGCACGTAGGAAACTAGCCTATGACCCTCTATCAATTCTCACACCAGGGCAAAGAATCTTCCCAAAAGGTAGAGCCATTTCATGATACAGGCCATCATTTCAAGAACCTAATTCAAATTGGTCCACTCAGCAGCATAAAAGAGGGAAGCAATAAAGCTAAAGTCTGTAAGTAGCCCATCTACATAGCTGGCACATCTTTCAGCGCCCTAGTATCTAAAAGTTCACAAAGAAGTACAGCATTCATTGATTTACAATCTTGTTCTACACATTTTTCCAACAATTTTGAACAAAGCACCCATTTTTGTATGTTAGACTATAGATAAACTGATTCAATTGCTTATGCTAATGAGAATGTAAAGCTGAAAAGACAAGAGAAGAGCAGATAAATTAGAAATTTTCCATGGTAGAAAGAGATTACTGAAAAAGAATCTTAGATTGGCCCACATGAAAAGACACGCAACAAGTTTGCCTTTTGGCAGGCAAAGCAAGTCAACAACAAAGCACACAACCATAAAGAACTAGACACACTGAATGTGTTACAAACGTACCTTTACCATAGTTTGTGACTAGAGAAAAAATCTGAAAGAGATTTCCTGAAACAACACTTTTACTCTGACACTCTATTTTCACTCCAGCCAAGGCCTGGTCGGTGTTGCTCACCCTGGCACTCTTCATAGTCACGTGCGTCAAGCAAAGAAGCTTCAAAGTCAGTTGAGTCACTTGCAGTAGGAAGAAAACTACTTAAGTCATCTCTGGCACCAAAACCTCCAGCTCGTACAACATCATCAGGATTTATAGTAGCCTCCATATTCACATCTGTTGAATAGTCACATTGTTTAAGTGCTTCCATTTGTGCAATCTCTCTCCCAGATTGGGGATCAGTCATGCTGAATGGTACGGTATCTTCTGCAGAGAATGAATCCTCTGTAGGCATAAGCACAACATCCTCTTGAACCCTCTCAGATTTAGCTTCTTTTTTGCTCTGGCCATTGTCAATCTTATCTGAGTCACATAAAGCTCCTTTAGAATCATCTAGAGTAATAAAAACGAGATACAACAAAGTTCAAGGAATGAGAAAACTAAAAGTTATTTGTTACTAATAAATACATGAGGTGATCTTCAGATAATCTTGCCAAAACAACCACAAAAACATAATTAACACAAAGCACATGCTGAAATTTTCTTAAATTTGAATGGAAGTTTTCATTCTCCACCTCAGCACTCACTCGGACATCTAAGGAACATCAATACTGTGACTACTTTAATGTTCAAGTCCAAATATACGGTATATACTATATACTGGTGGAGAATATAGAAACACTTCAACAAGGACAGTATAACAGATGTTTCAAGGCAATGCCTTAACTTGCATGCCTCCAAGATACCTATCATGTTAAGAGGGAGAACCGAAAATCACTGCAAGCACTGCAATGCTATTAATTTATTGGAAATTCATAATATATTTTAGAGGCAGAGATGACTTTGAGCCAAGGCAGAGGACCAGGAACAGTAGAAAATCACTATCACATGAATTACCAGTAATGCTAATAACATTTGCAACTAGCTGAGTTCACGGAGTGCAAATCTTTAAAGAGACTTGCAACCATTCTGTACTAATCAATCAGCTAAAAAATAGCCATAAACAGCTTTACAGCAAGAGCATGATGCACAAGGAACATGTCAAGTTGTGATAATGTAAATCTCAAGAGTAAAGACAACAAATTGCCTATTCCAGTAATGAAACAATATTCAACTAGACCTGCTAAAACTCCCTCTTCAACTAGACCTGTTAAAATTCCCTGTGCCAAATCACAGTAAATAACATAATTATCTGGACCAACTATTAATAATGACTAGCTAGCATCAGCAGGACACATCATGGTTCAATTTGAGAGGGAGTGATGCATTGGTCTACAATAAATCAGCAGTAGCACTAACCCAAAATTGAATATAAACACCAAAAAATTTGGAAGTAAGAGATCCAAAGCTTAAGCTGTTAACGAATTTGATGTAGTAGAAGCTAGTACCAATTATCATAGCAGCTCCTTTATCTTCCATAATGGGTTTTGACATTCACAGCCTCACAGGTGGTATCAGCAAGCTATTTCCAATTCACGTGAACAGATCAATACATCCTGCAAAAATACAGATTTCAAAATATTGTCCAAGATCCATGAAGAAAAAGCAAAAATAAGTGTCGACCATCATGCATCATAAATACAAATTTTCACCAAACTTAAAACGAAAACTACATAAAATGCATTCCAACTTGATATTTGAATTGACTCGTCGATCAGATGTCTTCAACAAAGTGGCAGAACAATGGTTATTTTAAACAGGCATACAGCTAAGAGGATGCTCTTAAGAAGAAAAATATGGTAGATACATATAGAAAGAGCACCTGACCTTCTATATGAGCATGCTCCATTCCTCATGCTTTAAAAACTTCCTTGATGTTGCGACTAATCTATACTAATTTTCAATTAAACTTACCAACTAAAAACACCCATATCCCTCCATCTAATGTGTTGATGAAACCTATGTCATTCGGAATCTTCATTTCAATTGGACACATGCTCATGTCTAACAGAAGTACACGAGTCTAACATAGATACATTTCTTTACCATAAGCATTATCCTTGTGAGAGACCTTAAGTTCAAAAAATGAAGAATACGGACACAAGAAACTTAAAGTGTTTCCTTCCTAACTAATTACGAACTGTGCACGGCCCCAATATGCTCACTAATCATATAGTCCTTTCCCCGTACCCCAAATTCTACACAAAACAACAACAAAACCCTAATTACAACTTTGATAAGCAATTAGCATCAGATAGCTTCAATCATCACATAATATCAAAAGCATCAACGTAAAGCATAGAAATTGAACATACTACATACAATACATAGCAAATAAAAAATAATCAAAAACTCAAATCATCGACATCAATTAAACCCTAATAATTACAATTTAAACACAAATTAGAGTATTTAACCATCAATATCTACATATTCAACTCAAAACAACTCAACACCTTAAAATTACGAACAATCAACCAAAATGCAACACCGATTGCATATAATCAGATACAAACTACTCTCTAAAATTACAATAAACTCCAAAAAAAATAGTATTCTTTATTTATTTGATTCAAATAACCAGGATAATTTTCCACAATCATCATATTACACTATGCTCGCATTTCAATAGCAAGAGCAACTGAGCAACAAAACAATTTACAACGAAACAAAAATCAAAATATTTCCAAAATTTTTGAAGTATGATCAACAATAACATAAATAACAATCAAAACAGGAAAGAAAGATTATCATAAAATTACTCAACCAAAAAAATAAAATATGAAGAACAAATTCAAAGGAATTAGCGAGAGAATCAGACAATTCGAAGCAATGAGATGACGAAAATTAGGAGAGAGAAAAGTACCGAGGAATGAGTAGAGATTGCGAAGAGTAGGAGTTTGGTAGAGAACTGGAGATGATGGTGCATCAATGGTGTGCGTCATAATAATAAGTTTGTTTTTCATTTACCGCCATTGTTGTTGTGAGAAGTTTGGAGGTGGTGGGGTACGTGGCAGTCATTTGTGATTGACACACGTTCAAAAATAAAAAATGGTAGAAATTTAACAGCTATTTACTGATTACTTAAATAATTCACCAAAATGCCAATAAGGTTTTCAAAATTTACCAAATGTCATCGAGATTAATGACTAACGGAGTTAAAATTAAATCTTGACACGTGTCATATGATTGGTTCATTTTAATTATTTATTTTAATTAATAAAAATAATATATTTTTTCTTATTTTTGTGGCAAAAATTGCTCGGTTATATTTTGGGGGTCATTTTGCCTTTATGGATACAAATTAAGCTTGAAATTGACAAAAAAAAATAATGTATATGCTCATTTTTATGTGTTGAAAAATATTTCGATTAGCGTGTCGTTATTTTTTAACCATCAAAATTGACCGGGTAAGGTTTTGGGGGTCATGTTGATCCTTTATGAATACAAATTAAGCTCAAAATTGACAAAAAAAAAAACGTAAATGCTTCATTTTGTGTGCTGAAAAATATTTCGATTAGAGTGTCGTTATTTTTTAACCATCAAAATTGATCCGATAAGGTTTTGGGGGTCATTTTGATTCTTCATGGGAACAAATTAATCTCGAAATTGACTAAAAAATAACGCATATGCCCCGTTTTGTATGTCGATATCGTAATTTTTTTCGGAAAAACGTGAAACGGAGTATTTACGTTTTTTTTTTTTTGCCAATTTCGAGTTTAATTTGTACCCATAAAAGGGTCAAAATGACCCCTAAACCTTACCCGAACATTATTCGCCGCGAAAATCGAAAAAAGTATTATTTTTATTCATTAAAATAAATATTGTGTCTTAATTTTAAAATGTAATGGCATTTGGTGAAATAATTTTCCAAAGCCATGACATTTGGTAAAATAAGAATTGCATTAGCGGAAAACTAACGTCCATATGCTATTAATGGCACGAGGTGTCATTGTATTGTTTGTCAGTGACATTTGGTAAATTTTGAAAACTTTGAGGCGGTGTTTGGGAATTAGTATTTAATTTCAAATTATTCATTTCAATTCTTGGAATTGAAATTCTTATTTTTAATTCCAAAATTGGTGTTTGGGAAATTGCTAGAATTTAGATTCTAGGATTTTAAATTCTACATGTTGTTTGGATAGACTGGAATTTTAATTTCACAATTGTATTGTTTAATTGATTTTTTTGAAAAAAAAAAAATAAAAAAATTCAAATCATATTTTCATACAACACTACTGTCAACAATGTCGTCCCTTCCAATGTTCCGAGAACTCCAATGGCAGTTCATCAATGGCGACGCAACATTGCGAACTCCAATGGTGGTTCAGCAATGGCGACGCAACACCGAGGACTCCAATTAGCTCATTAATGGCGACAAATTAAAGTGTCGATAACTCCAATGGCATCTAAAAATGCAGCTTGCCTGTTCTTGAGATGGTCTTCTCTATAAAATCATCTTTGTCTTCTTCGGCGAAATTAAGGTTAAGGTTCATCATCAGTGCTTTGTCGGAAATTGGAATCCCTAGTTTCCGACGATGAAGGTTAAAGCAAGGAGCCATGAGAGAGAACTTTTATGTGGTAGAAGAGAGGAGAGAGAAAATATGAGTAACTTACCTGGTAAAAATAGAGGAGAGAGAAGATGAAGGTGAATAGATCACATCACTTGGAATTGAAATGACATATGTTGAAGATGGATTTCAAATACTTTGGTGTGGGTTATTTTTGATAAGTGTCTGGAATTCAGCCAAATTCAATTCCAAATGTTTTGAGTTTCCAAACAGCTCAATTGGGACAAATCCAACATTTGAAATGAAATGACAATTCCCAAACAGACCATGATGGCATTTGGTGAATTTTGTAAATACTTAGTGGCATTTGGTGAAATAGCCGTAAATTTAAATATTTTTCATTTTCACCCTAATAAGAAACTCCAATGGCAAGCTAATTGTCAAATTAGCTTGTCATACCACATAAGCTTTCAAGCTAATTATGTTTATAGCTAGTTTGATCCCTAATGGCTAGCTATTAGCTTATTATTTAAATTATCAATTTATTATTTTTATCTTAATTACTAATTGACTTTTAACATTTTCTTTTTGGCACGTTTTTTTCAATCAAATTAGCTTGGCAAAGTTAATTTGCTTGACTAAGGGTATGTTTACATTTACTTAATTTCAGTTCAGTTCAGTTCAGCTCCAATCAGTTCAGTTCAGCTCTTAATTTTCCTCTCTCATAAAATATTCATTTCAGCTCAGCTCAGTTCAGCTCCAATCAGTTCAATTCAGCTCAGTTCAGTTCCAATCAGTAAAATTCAGCTCAGTTCAGTAAATGTGAACATACCCTAAGCTAATTACATATTTTTGCTCCAATGGTCAAGCTAGAGCTAGGGACTATTTAAAATTGCAAACAAGTCCCTAGCTACAACCATTGGAGTTGCTCTAAACAAATTTTGCAAATTAAAGGGTAATCTTGTAAATAAGTCAACAAAAATGCTCCATTTTATTGTTCTGTTCACCTCTTAGGCTTTAAAAATAAATTGTGTAGTGTACCCTTCAAAACTTTCAAATACATTAATCATCAATCAATCAATATATTATACTAAAAGACATGTCACTCTATGATTTTCTTGTCTTATAATGGTAAAAAAATAATTTAAAGAAACCTTAGAACAATAATTTTGGTTAAAATTTATTGTATAAATCATTTTGATTTAGAATTTTGTTGATAAAATTTGATAGAATCTAAACTATTTGTAAATAAGTTTTAAAGAGCTTGTAAATCGCTAATGGATTTTACCTAGGGGTGAGCATGGGACAGGTACCCAAACTGTTAGTACTAACAGTTCCGTTAACCGATAACCAATATCACTAAAAGTGATATCCATAAACCTAGCCGATAAGTTCGATTACTCAGACTTTGGGTACTTGAATTTTCGGATCGGTTATCGGGTACTCAATAAGACATCCAATAATGATAATTAAACTTAATAATGTTGTTATAAATTATAATGATATCATTCAATACTAATTAACAACAATACCACATGATCTTGACCAAATTATTAGTAATATTACTAATCATTGTTATTATAACGTGATTATAAAGTAAAGTAAGAGTTTAAATTTTGAAAAATAGATTTAAGAAGGAAAAAAACAACAAATTGCTTATCAAGATTAGAAAACCATTAATTTAAAATGACACCCAATAACTATACCCAATAACAAAATATCAGAACGGGTACTTGAACCGTTATGGTTATCAAATTGGGTACCCTAATTTTTGGAACGGTTATGGATCAGGTTTTTGGATTTTCGGTTTTCGAGTAGTTTTTATCGACCCTAATTTTACCAAAAGGAACAAGACAACCACAAATTTTTATCCATAAAGGTTAGACCCCATTCATGATCTATAAGATTACTAAATATAGCATTAAGAATCACGACTGAAGGTATGGGGATGAAATAAAGGTACAAAATTAAAATAGCGAAAAATAAATAAATAATATTGATTGTAACACATAACATTAAAGTGATAAGGATTAGTTGATAATGTATACATATAATAATTCTAGTTTCTCTCTCAATATAATATATGAGACCGGTTTGATCGTTTATTGTAGATTTGATTTTGTTTCAATGTTAAGAACTTAAAATTTCAGCAAAATCTCGTGAAAAGATAAATGATTTCATGAACCACTTTGGATTATGTACAAAATGTCAAGCCAATATGATACATTTTAAACATCAGATACGATATCTATGTAATCCTTGTAAAAGAGTTAGATTATATGTCATATATTTAATTAATTCTGATTTTGAAGTCTAATTAATAAATCTTGATATATGTAAGGTTGATAACAACTACAAAGTATATTATCCTGGGAGTGTAATACAAAATCAAATCAACATACTTTTTATTTTAAATAAATCGTATCACGTCGGATTCTGTTTCTCAAGGCCATCTTGATTTTGTGCTTGACACTTATTTCAATATAAAAGCAATAAAAAAAAAACACTAATTAAGTATGCTTCAATTCAGATCAATTCATTGGCAAAAAGGTAATCTTAAATACTTTTCTTCAAAATGCTCCTTTATAGCAAAAGTTGATCTCTAATCAATGCCATTATTATCAACCTAGGATAATTAATATTTGATACAAGCAAGAATAACATTCTTTAACATTCCATGTGTTAAAACAAGAAGTGAATTTTCATAATATTTTAAAATTTAGTCATTTTCATGCGATAAATGTATTGTTTTTATATAGGCTATACCCTCTAATTTTTGTCCTTTACTTATTTGGTTGTCGTTGTTAACATTTTGATTATGTGTGTTTTTCAGATATGTCTAAAACGGTTGGAGATAGTAGCATGAATGAAGAGAATAAGTTTACTGCTTTAGTTGTAGACGATAATGTTGTCATTAGAAAGATTGAAGAAATGTTGCTTAACAAGAAAGGGTTTAAAACTAAGGTCGTGGAAAATGGTCAAGAGGCCGTGAACACTTTCAGTGAAGGCAATTCTTTTGATGTTATTATCATGGATATGGAAATGCCGATAATGGATGGGATTCAGGTAATCTTTTTTGTATTATCTTAATATCTTTTCGTAATAATGTTACATATGTTGATGTTTACAACATCTCTCTTAATGCTCTAAGGCTATTAATAAATTAGTAATGATAAATATAACATTTTAGGCAAAATAAGGATATATATAAAGAGTTAATTGGGTGATAGTGTGAATAAGATAATAAAATTTGAATTATTATGTACAAGATAAATTATGTTATATGTGGACTATAATAATTGCAATGTGGTTCATTCCTCATGTTCCAAATTAAAAAAATATTATTGTTTGCGGCATTTCAATTAAAGTAATGGACTATAATTTCAATGGAAAAATTTATCACCCTTGCATTATTACTTAATTATGAATACTAATTTTTTTTAATATTTAAATTAATTCTCTTTTGTGAAGGCAACTAAAGAGTTGCGAGCTATGGGCGTTAAGTGCTTGATATTTGGCGTGACGAGCTCTGAATTAAAGTCTGACATTCAAGCATTTGTAGAAGCCGGTTTAGATGAATATTTTCCAAAGCCACTGGATTTTGTGAAGATTGAAAACATACTCAAGCGCCTCATCAAAAAGTGATACCAAGAGAAATTTGACACAAAAATGACATAAGTAAACTATGTTTAGTATTTAATACTTAAATATTGTACTCCTGGTTTCGATATGATGTTTCATGTTTTTTTTTAGTTTCAATCAATTATCTATGATTAAACAATGCAAAATTTCATATATTGAAGAGTACACACCTATCAAAATAGCACATAATGATATTTTTTTCTTATATTATTGATCAGAATATACGATCAATTATTATTTTAGCTCTAAACGATAAGTTTTTTTAAAGGCATAAATTAAATAAAACAGAGGCAAAAAGAGTATTTATCTTCCTAGCAAAATAAAATAGGCTTCTTATATTGCATGTTTAAGTGTCAACATATCTTTCGGAAGATTATGACAAATATTTATTTATTTATTCTATGTAACTTATAAATTTCAATGAAACTAGGGCATGTAACGCGCATGATGCGAGCTCCATAGCTAGCCATAGCCAGAATTTTTTTTAGTTTGGCCGTGTGCAATCACAACTTTAGTTGTTGCCAGCCGAGTGGCCTAATCCGGCCGATGACTTCGTGGCCATTTGTTGGGGAAGGGGGTCGGGGCGGTTTAAGGCCGCTCAGGGAAAGGGAAAGGGAAAGGGAAAGGGAAAGGGAAGGGCAGCAAGTTCCGGTAGTTTGAAGGTGGGGTGGGTTTAGGCTGGGGGAAGGAGTACGCTAGAGGTAGGGCGAGATGGTGGGTATACTGGGTGAAGGGGGTGGAGAAGGAGGTACATATGATAGGGCTTTGATTTTATATTTTTCTTTTTTGGCCAATAACATGGGAACACATGTCATTGTGGCGCCCGCTTCACGAATTATTGGACAAAATCAATTAAGTGGTGGTAAAATTCAATTTTTTAAAATTTTTTGTGCTATTAAAATAAATTTTTTTTCATAGTGTTAAAAATCATTTTTCGTGTTTTTATGGTGTAAAATTCAATTTTCCTATAAAAAAATCATGATAAAATTCCATCAAAATATTTTTTTTCACACTAATAATAATAATACTGAAAAGGGTAGTTAGTGTTGATTTCTATAAGTGAATAAAAAGTAAATAATACCAATGTTGTTCATTACCGGGTACCCAACTTTTTGGGCACCTATAAAGAAGCGAAATTGTAATGGCATTGTTTTAGGCTAAATTAATTTACAAAAAAAAAAAAAAAAAAAAAAAAAAAAAAAAAATCCTAGGAATATGCATAGCAATATTCTTTAACTATAATTAGAGATATCCTCCGTTAACTTTTAGTTGCAACATAGAAGTATTTTTCGTGAGATACAAAATATTTATAAGTTGCAACTAAAAATTAATGGAGGTATATTGTAAAGATTTAAACATATATTTTTGAATCATTTATTGATTTACTTAACCTTACAAAAAAATCATAAAAATGCATGGGTGTGTTGTGCACCCAATCAATTAACCCAGGTTAGTTTTTTGTTACTCTTTAAATGACAATTAAATAAACAGTATCTCCAAGAAAGGATGAAAGAGGAGGGCCCTTCAAGTGAGGGTGATATATTGATATACTGTGCATAGAGGCCGATGTAAAATTAACCTCTTCAAAATTCTCAATATGGCGGAGCCTATGTAAGAAGGTTGGGCTCCATTATTTCTATGTCAAAAAGGACTATCTATCATTAAAATAAGGGAAATCCCATTACTTTAATTCGAATCAAGGATCTTTCGTGGTTGTTCATTTGAATAACAACCAAGGAAAAGAATATTTCAGAAGAAGGAAATCAAGGAAATATGTTATCCTATGCCCATTCAATTCCCCAATCAACATTGACAAGAGTGGCCTCAAAGTGATCGATGAAGCTAAAGCCATCTATGAGAATCTAGGAAAACGAACAAGGGAGAATCGGGAGAGGAACAATGTCCTCCCTGATTGCAATGAAGCACTTTTAGGTGGAGAAACTAAAAATAGTGTAGAATGAGCATCATCTTAATGTATTTATATTACAAACAGTCAACAAAATTCACACCGATTGCATATAATCAAATAAAAACTACTCTCTAATTAACAATAAACTTCAGAAGATTAGTTTTTTTTTTTTTTTTTTATTCATTTGATTCAAATAATCATGATAATTTTCCACAATCATCATATTACACCATGCTTGCATTCAATAGTAAGAGCAACAAAACAATTTACGATGAAGAAAAACCAAAATAATTCCAAAATTTTCAAAATTATGATCAACAATAGCATTATTAATAATAATTAAAACGAGAAAGAAATATTATTATAAAACTACTCAACAAAAAACAACAATATGAAGAACAAATTCAAAGGGATTAGCGAGAGAATCAGACAATTCGACGCAATGAGATGACGAAAATTAGGAGAGAGAAAAGTACTGAAGATGATAATGCATCAATGGTGTGCGTCATAAGTAAGTTTTTCATTTGCCGCCATTGTTGTTGTGAGAAGTTTGGGAGGTGGTAGGGTACGTGGTAGTCATTTGTGATTGACACACATTCAAAAATGTTTAAATTTAATTTATTTTCATTTTTACCCTAATAAACAAAATTTGTAATCATATCCTATCATATCATATCATATACTTCCTCCCTTCATTTATGGTTGCAACATTTTTCCTAAAATGAAAATATCACAATAGTTGCATTACACCATAAAAGTAAGGTTTTTATGGTGAAAATTGTACTAATACCTTTATTTAAAGCACATGACCCACTTGATTATACTTCTAACAATCTCTTAACCCCATTTTAAGCGTGTTATATCATGTAAGGTCCACTTTTCTTAAATACCGTGATAAAGTGTGTGTTGCAACTATAAAGAAACGGAGAAAGTATATAACTAATATATAAAGCTAAATTTTTAGCCATGCCATGAGACAACGACACTTGGAGAAAGTGTCGCACCATGTAAGTGACGGAAGGGATATTTGGTTGTTGGGCAAACACCCTAAAGTCAAACTACCTAACTAACCACTAACCTAAGCATAATGGTAAATAAGGGTCATTCTTCCTGTAGGGCATATTTCAAGCATTACCTCAAACTTGAACCCCACTGTGATCATACACTTAAGCGTGGTGGCGTCCAAAGGGAAGGAAGTTAGAGCAAAAGAGTCATCAACAAGTTTTAGGAACTTGTAAACCGTTCACAGGGTAAAGGTTACACCCCTTAACGATCCAAGAGATCGTTAACTCCAATAGGTTTGGAACCAAGACTGGAAGTTCGGGGATGAAGGTACAAATCCAATCTAAAAGAGAAATAACCTGCCCTAATAATAGGCCTCTACTTTATTCTTCTCGTATTCATGTGCGCTTTATGACTAACATGCAATCATTAGGTTTACCCTAAACCTGTTTATCTATGTTGGTTGAATATTAATGCACAAACAAAACTATTATTGGCGATCAAATTAACCCAAAACAAAATTATTAATTATCTTATTAAGCGTGATTACAAGTACCAATTCCCTTTAAACATGCATGAAAGGCGTGATCAAGCAATAACAAATAAATATCATTACTATCAAGAAACATAATAATCATAATCATAATTACCATGATAATAATTATAACAATTATAATCATAAATCATAAAAATAATCATAATCATGTTAAAGCATATATAATACTTAGAGCAAGATCCTAGGCATGATACTAACAAGATTAATAACAAACCCTAGCATGTCACTAAACATTAAAGATCAAAGCTTTAACCCTAACATGATACTAACATACTATTAAGAAAGAAATAGGAAGCATCACAGAAATCATAATTGATATAATTAAGAAACTTATTCTTACCCTAAACATGATACTAAGAAAAGCATCCTATCATGATACTAGGAATCAAAATAACAACCTAAACATGATTTCTATATCATAATATAAATAAAACAATTAAATCACTTACTTGGATGCCTCGTATCTCTTTCTAATAACAAAATACACACGTTAGTAACTTCAAGGAAAATATTAATCAAACAATTAAATTAAATAATTGAAATAAATATTTGGGACCAAACCCTCAGAAATATCAAATCTTTCACGTCTAGGGCAAAGGAAAATTCGAATTATGATAGGTGTATCTAGATCTTGTGAATGCGGAATTTTGTTTGTAAAAAGTTGGTTTAGAAAAAAGAGAGAGTATCAAGAATTTCTTGATGAGAATTGATGAAGGTCTAAGGACGCTATTTATAATGAAAACAGTCCGGATTTGATAAAAAAAAAAAGAATTAGAGTTTGAAGAGGAATAAAACACGCCGTTGTCGCCACAACAGCCCCTGTCGCCCGGATCTGCAAGACAGTTTTTGCGGATTTTGTTTTTATCATATCTTTTGATCCAGAAATCCAAATAAGGCATATAATATGTCGTTGGAAAGATATTGAAGTCTAATTTCCAATCCAATTAGAATCAGATTAAAATATTTTGTATATAAAAGATATGGCCGAAATAGTGGAAGGGTGTCAGTTTTGGATAGAATTTTGTATTTCTTTCATATCTTTTTCGTTATAGCTCGAAATTAATATTATGATATATCATTGGAAAGATAATTTCAAGATCTATCCAACCATGTAAAATTTGGATAAATATTATGAGACACGAAAATAATATCTGAATATATTCCATTTCGTACAAAATAAGGATTCTCAAGAGTAGTTTTATTCAATTTTAAACTCTTTGAAACATAATTATCAATCCTAACTCCATTAGGATTTAAGAGAACCTTCTAGAGTATTCTTGAAGACTATAATCAATCCTAATAGCCTTAAGAATGATAATTAATAATAGGCCCTCCTCTAGATCATTGGGCAATATGTAAGAACCAAACCGGGCCCAGTTTAGTATTTTGGCCATAACTTCCTCATTATTCATCGGAATTGGGCTTATAATATATATTTGGAAAGGTCTTTTCAAGCCCTATCCAACTACACCATTATTGGACCCTTATCATGGATAAAACTAAACTGGATTGGCTATTTTCATAAAATAGGGTAAG